TTTGTTCATCTTTGATTTTTTTATTATTAAAATGAAAGATATTATGGTGGCATACTAGAAATTATCAAGTTTCATTAATGGCAAAATGATAAACTAGCTGTAAATGAATTTTAAATTCATTTAATTATTTTTTAGACAAGTGTATCATGATATTTTGATGTAAAAATCAAGATATTTGCTCTTCTTTCTCCTCCAAACCATGGCTTCCATAGCTAAGGTAAAAAAATTATTTTTAAGCCATTTTGTTAAGTTTTTGGACTAAGATGTGAAATAGAGAATTAATCGACATCAAATTCTCTATCATTTGGTATAAATATTTCATGGTTTTCTTTCTTGGATCATTGGTTTGGTAATTAGAGTGTATCAAGAACAAGTTGGATTTTAATGATTTAAGGATGGATTTTGATTTAGTAGAAGTTGAGTTGTTTCCAAGTATGTGTGATGAATAAAATCAATTGAAAATACATGTATAAGGATTTGGCTAAGGCTAGGGATTAAAGGAAAGATTGATTTTGAATTGAATACGATGTGGAAATAATTGAGGTTGCTTGAGAATGATGTTGAGAAGATGAATTCATGTTTGAATCAAGTTGAAAATCAAGCTAGATACACTTTATTATATTCGACCATGAAAAAAAAATTAGGGAAAATATTGAAAATTTTCCCTAAGCTTAGAAATGGTATTAGAATGATTCTACATGCTTTGAAATGTGATTTGGACCAATTTAGAAGTTTGTAAAAGTTTAGGGACCTATTTATATATTGATAAATTTAGGGATTAAAGTGTAATTATTCAATAATTGATGTACTATGCTAGAATTTAATGTTAGAATGTTAAATTCAATATTAGAAAGTGAACTTAGACCGTTTTGGGAAGTTGGTAAAGTTTAAGGACCAAATCATAAATATGGAAAAGTTGGGCATTTAAATGAAAATTAATTAATTATTGAGGTATAATGCTGGAATTTTTAATTAAGTTAATTGAATTTTGAATTGAAGAAAAATGTCAAGGGACCATTTTTGAATAAATTGGAAAAGTTAAGGTGAATTCTAAAAGAATTAATTTCATTGGTCAAGAATGTGAAATTGAGATGAATATGGGGATTAGTGAATGAATATGGGTAGTAAGAAGATTGAAGTTGTATTTTTAAAGTGTTAAAAGAAGTATTGAAAACGCGAAATGGAATTTATATTGAATATACATTAATTGTACAATTAGTAATTTTCATGTTAATATACACATATTATGTTAGTGTAGATACAACTAACATATGCTTTGAATTTTATATGTTGGTAAATTATACTCGTGTAGATTGTACTCGAGATCGTGAGATGAGTAAGCTTAAAGCTAAGGAAAAGTACGAGAATAAAGGGTTCACTAGTGAGGCATTACAAGGTGAGTGCATTATTGTTTTTATACTAACGTATATGATATGAGGACGTCTTGCGATGAGCCAACCTCAAATGATTTGAAAAAAAGTATTTAAATTATATTCTGATTTAGTTTTATATTGTTTACAAAACGATATTTAGATGATTTGAGTATGGATTAATCAATACATTTTTATATGATATTTTATTTAATAATATTTGAATAGTATCTGTAAATGGTTTCGAAATGATTGTATGGTATGAACTATTCAAAATATTTTATACGATTTCTGATATATGGTTATGGATTATTTCCGGTATGAACTGCTCAACACACTTTTATATGATATTTGGACATGTCAGTATATATGAATACATTGGATATATGAATGGGATATGATTATGACATAAAAGCATGTTGTATATGCATTGAGAGTCGTAGGTACAATTGGCATGTCACGAGGTGGAGTGATTACTGAACTGGTACATTTGTGTACATTACATGTGGCACCGTTGGTGCAAGTTATATAAGGCACTTTCGAGTGTAATTGATATATAATGGCACCTGGAGTGCATATTGCGCACACTCGTATGACTCATGTACATTGCATTCTCATCTAACGCACATTGGACTATATTTATATGAAATTGAAAAGTAAAAGTTACATGATCTAAATATGTGAACAATACAAATTATTTGATTTTGATGAAATCAAATGGTTCACTATGTAGGATGATTTTAGCATTATATGCCTTTATTGTGATAAAGAGCCTATATATGTTTTACGATTTGAAAGAAAGCTAAAGTTTTTATGAATTCACTGATTTGGCATTATATACCTTATATATATATATATATATATATATATATATATATATATGTGAAAGGATGATTTTACAGGTTACGATTTTAGTATAAGGAAAAACGTTTGAATTATCAGTTTTATATAATTTTTTTACGACAGTGGTAACACTTTGGTTATGTATAATATTTTCATAGTTTAAAATGTCTTACCTTAGTTTATATGTCTCACTAAGTGAAGACTTAACGTGTGATTGTTTCATGCGTAGGTAAAGAAAAGCGAATGAAGGAATGTGATTTGGAATCACTTTTGAAGATCATATCTGCTCTCCAATATCAATATGTTATTTTATAATGTTTTGACTTTTCTAGCTGACACATATATTGTATGAGTATTATGTTGCTCTAATATGATAGTTATAAGTCAGTTTGTAAATTGTTAAATATATCGACTAAATATGGACATTACTTGGTATAATTAGTAGAGCATGAATAGTAGTTACTAAGTTACATTTTAAATGATGTCGGTATGGATTTTAAATTAGACATATTTTAGGTAATTTTAATCTTTATATCAAACAATATCGAACGACTACATAGTTACCTAAAATCGGGTTTGAAATGAATGATAAAATATTATTTTTATTTTTATTTTATGCGATTAAATATTTTAGTGATTGAAGTAAGATTGATGAATTAAAAAAACAAAATTTTATTAGTTTTCGACTAGGAAGTATCTTTAAATAGTTGATGTGACATCTTTAACTCGTATTGAAGTACGTACACGAGTTAATGGTGGTTACATCGAGTACTTCAGTAGATGAAAGAGTTAGTTCTGTGTTACGAGTTTAACCATACTTTAGAAAGTTCAAAGATTTGAACCTTTAACATTATTTTATGCGATTAAATATTTTAGTGATTGAAGTAAGATTGATGAATTTAAAAAACAAAATTTTATTAGTTTTCGACTAGGAAGTGTCTTTAAATAGTTGATGTGACATCTTTAACTCGTATTGAAGTGCGTACACGAGTTAATGGTGTTACATCGAGTACTTCAGTAGATGAAAGAGTTAGTTCTGTATTATGAGTTTAACCCTACTTTAGAAAGTTCAAAGATTTGAACATTTAACATTATTTAAAAGATCTATTATATCATCCTAATTGGACCAACTGATTGTTGATAATTTATATATATTATTGATGAGAAGAAATTTATCTCATTGGTCGTTGACGTATTATTCCTTTTGATTTGGTCGAAGAATCTTGACCGATAGAAGATTAACCATTGTCCAATGGTTCTCTTTAAGAGAATAAGAGAAAACGAGGATGTCGTGAAGAATAATATGGACAATTTTTTTAGGACTTTGGAAAAATATTCTCTCTACATATTTTCTTAAATTATAAATATCTTAATCATAAAGTGCAAGGATGGACTGAAGAGGGACGGGTGAGGGCAATCATCCATAAAAATTTTAAATTAGTATATATTTTAGATATTTTTTTTATATTTTCAATTGATAATATGTTTTTACCTCTCCTAAAATCTTATACGCCTCATCCTAAAATGTTAGAAGTTAATCCCTTAGCTTAAGATCCTACATTTGTATCAGATAGAGCGGTCAGTGTCAAACCTATGATGACGATAGTTGTCTATAAACCAGTTTAAGCAAGATGATTACAGATGTCACAAGTTTGTCTCTATAGTTTCTTTTTATTAATCTAGGATGTTCGCAAGTGATAATATCTACTATAAAGATTCTTAATTATTTAATAATAAACGTTCAATTATACTATAATTTCTAATGCTCTAATACGAGACCTCACTTTTTCGATTCCAGCCTTCTTACTATTTAATAAGAACTTGTAAGACAATCTTAATTAACCCGACAAGGTTGTAGTTTGCTTTTACTAGTTACCAACTCTGACAAGAACAGAAAGAAATAGGGAAGCCACTACCATGGTAATAGGGATGTCATGGGTTGAATTGAATATAACTTTTGGCTCATTCAAATTTAATTTCAAAATTAAATTCTTTAATTTGTATCTAATGTAATTTAAATCTAAGAGTTTTACTTAATTTGGGATCCAATTCGATTTTTGAGTTAAAAATTCGCACTTAACTTTCACGCGCGCGTGCGCACGCACACGACCAAATCAAAATCCGTCGAATTCTAATCAAATATCTATTCCTACATTCAGCATCCAACTTTCTTCTTCTCCAAAACATTTCTCCGCTTATAATTTAAAATATTTAATTTATCCCGAAAATAATAAGTTTATCCTTTTTTTTTCTTTTTTTTTCAGCTAACAATCAGGAATTTTTTTTAATCAAATAATAAGTTCACTTTGCGTATTAAAGACCAACAACAGAGCAGACACATTGCTGGAAAAGGTTTAAAACCCTAAATTATGTATATGTATGTATGTGTGTGTGTGTGTGTATGAAGCTGAAAATGTTAATTTTCTTTGGCTTATTTCCATCATACGAGCAGTGGGTGCCTAGTGAATGATATGTGCATGGTGGAAGCAGAGGTAACTGTCCACGCCGTTGCCAATACATTGTAACCGATGTTTAATATACGAATATTAGCTTCAAGGATCCTCCGAATACATTGAAAAACTTAGAAAAACATAACAATGTCCGTGTCGGATACATACCTATGTTCAACACTCAAGTTAAGTTGTTGAGACTCATCATCTAGTAAGCGAATCGAGATGCAAATGAATTCTGTCTTCATTTTCCTTCAAGTATTTGCATCCAGCACTCCATCTGATGCATATAGGAGGATATAATCCTCAAAATATCAAAAAGGAAACACAAATGTACAATTACAAATCACGTAATCATCATTTTTATTTAAATAAGGTTACATCATTTACAGATCAACGGGTTGAGTTGAGCTATAAACAATTGGAACAATGCATACATACATATACATGTACATATATATATTTGGCAATGTTTACATTGGAGTTTAAAGATAGAGATGAGAGTTTTAGCCAAAAGTTTTCTCAGTGCTGTAACACATGTAGAGAAACCCATCTTCATCTTTGAAAGAACTATAGACAGACCCCATGAGACTTGCTGCAGATGTTTAATGGTCGAAATTATAAAACGAAAAAAAGGGTCAACAAGTTCCGATTAATCGATCGGTAAGCAAGAACCATCCATGAATACATATGTTCTTTTACCTGTTTGAGGCAATGTGTTGTTCACAAACACAACGAGAGCTTTTCCAGGACTCAACTGCAGCCTCCTAGTTAGAATGTGAATGAACTGACCCACCGACATGTCTCGAGGAACCAGGAACCTTGAGAGTCAAGAAAACATGATAGTTGCAAGAAACCAATTAATAACACTCAACAAGCTTGGTGTTCAAACTCTATTAACAAAGAAATGACAAGAAAAGAAGAATAAAATACTTATTCTTCTCTATATCTGGGAGGTCTGTCATTGAATATCTTTCAATCATCACCTGGAGATATAAACAAACATATGACAGGCAGGCAAAAGGTGATAAACAATCACTTTGGGTGTCGTTGAGCCGAAGCGCAGCTATTTAATAGTCACTTTTTGGCACAACGACATCCGAAGAGAGCAATTCCTAGCTGTTCGATCAGAGATTCCAATAGACTGACCATATTGCAGTTCATATGCTTATCTTAGTTGCACATAGTGTAATGCTTTGGGATGAATTAAGACAAATATATAATCAAAACTTACAGGAACTCGATCTGGGTATTTGGTTAAAATAGTTTTTGATTCTTCTTGTCGTTGCTCTGCAAATATTAAAAAAAATCAAAATCTCGAAAATTCAACAATAATATCATCTCGAAAATATAATATTTACCAAGTGTTCTCTCCTCTAGAAAAGGCTGATGCTTCCCCATTGACTGATGAGTTTGAAGAACAATATCAAGTAATCTCCTTTGTTTATGTCTCTGACAAAACCCAGAGTTCTGTAAGAAGAAAGCCGACAGAGAAAATGTCGCCTTTTCAGCTTGAAATTTCATTCGGTTAAGAGACCGCTTTCAGTTCAACCAAGCTGATACGACATCAATTTTCAGGGAAAAAGGTCTAATTTTTATATTAGTCTGTCTACTATTCCATATTTGAATTTAAGCTCTTTACTTTTAGTTTAATTTAATTTGATTCTGTTTTTGTAACATTCAATATCGATCGCATCTTTTTAGTTATCGTCGTTAAATTGATGAGACACAATCTGTTTTTGGAATAGTCTTGAACATTCGATCGACATGAGATGTTGGTAAACTCTAATTATGAAATCGAATAAAAAATATATATAAATATACGTGATTTCGACTTGGATCTATGATAATATTGTCAAAGTAGAGGATCAAATCATGTTAAATTAAAATAGAAGAATTAAATTTTGAATTTCAATATAGTAGAAAGACTACAACCATATTAGACCAAAACAAATAGAAAATAAATAAATAAATTTTATTCGATCAAAGAAGTTGTTAGATTAGACCTAATCATTTGCATATGCCTCGCTGACTGCTTAATCTATAGAAAAGAAAATAGAAACAAAGGCAGTTAGATGATTTTTTGGTGAAATTTCTTTTTAGGTCCTTTTAGTTTTGAAAGCAGACAATTAAGTCCCAACCTACCATTTTCCGGTTTAAACCCTTGTTAGTTTCGAAAACAAATGCATATATGCGTTTTATTAAGTCTGGGACATTAAATATCGCTAAGATGGTAATTTATCTTTTATATTTGTACAGTTTTACTTATTAAATTTAAAAAAATTTAAGTTTAAACCCGTTTTATTAAGTCTGGGACATTAAATATCGCTACTTTGACGACGTGATGTATTAATAAAAAGATTTAATTTTTATTTTAACTCTTGAACCTTAGATAAAATGTTAATTGTGGGCCTTTTGTAAACTCAAAGTAGTTTAGAAAAGAGGGGGTGCTGCTTAACCACAAGGTTAGAGAACATAATTGTTAGGACATTTTACATATATAGGTATTCTAGAGTGGTAGGGGAGAATATGGTTTAAATTTAGTAAAAAAAACGTACTTGAAATGAATGATGAATTGAAGAAATACAAAAATGAGGGCATTAATTGAACAAATAAAAAATTTGTAAAATGTAGCACTCGATTCAACTAGATACACACAACAACCAAAATAACAAACAAGAAGCAAAGAAAACAATGCTTTCACCCGTCATGGTGATGGATCAACTCGAAAGGGGAATCGCCCCAGTCCACTGACTCTGGACTAGGTGGAGCTGAGTTGAGTTTTGTCGACTTCTCATGCTCCGGTGGAGACCAATCTATGGTAAGCAGACCAGCCATCTCTTTATAAACAGAAAAATCCATGGGCTCTGGACTAGGTGGAGCAGACTTATATTCAATGGGCTGTAACACAAGTAATAAACCAGTATTCACTATGACAATCCGAATGCCAAAGCTAGTCGATGCCCCAAAACCGATCATTTCGTTATGCATATAAACAACTAAAAGGGAGGAAACAAATGAAACGAAAACCAACCATTTCATTTGGTGATCCAAAGAACTCGAAAGTGAGATCGTCCCAGTCCATAGCTTTTTTCTGAGCTTTGATACATTCATCATGATTGTTTCGAAATCTTTCCATCGCAATGTCTTCGGGTTCAATTGGATTCTCTGCCAAAATGGTAAAGTTCGAGGTTTGATTTCTATTTGACGTCTCCTTCAAGCATGGGTTACCCGAGTTTGAAATGTCACAGAGAGCCTTCCGGCCACCAACTTGCACTTTCTCTGAGACTTTGGAGACACTCTTCTTCTTGCTTGTGGCTTTTGAGACAGTGGTAACTTTCTCAGTGAAAGAAAGGACTTTAGAGTTCTCCTTGTTAAATGAGTTTGTAGATGTTTCCTTCCACCAATACCGCCTTTCCTCGGTACAGTAGCCATATTTTCCTTGGTTGCAACAGAAGCGCCAGGATATTGAACTTTCAGTTATCAATTTAAACCTAAAAACAAAATCTAAAAACAGAAGAGAAAGTTTTGGGAATAGTAACATTGTAGTGAACATTTACATTTCTGATCTCGAATCAAACCAACCGTACGCAATGCCATCTGAGCAAATTACGGAAGAAACAAATCCTCTGATTATACCCGTGAGATTTGCAGTGCTCCAAAAGGGGAAGAAAAACCAAGGTCTGAGATTGTGTAAGAGGTGTGAAACACAAGCAACATCCAGATCAACAGAACAATTGCATCATACAAATCATACAAATATCCGTACCCGGTCACTCACCGGAGTCCTAATAACATAGATATTGACTAAAACAGTGTGAAGATTACAGCACAAGCCCTATCATAAAACTAAACAAACTAAAGAAAAGCACCACAACAGATAAAAACCATCAGAAAAGAGTGGTGATTATACCAAACCAACATGAAAATGTAAATTTATCAGTTCATAAAGAAACATGTAGTGAACAGGAAGAACCCAAAATTTAACTTGTTGGATTGTTCCAGAGGACAACTAATTCAAACAAGTTCAAATTAATTTTAGTAATTTCATACTCTGATTTTTTTTCAATCGGGGAAATTATACAAACCCTAGATCATTAATTCCCCCAAAGTAAACAAAGAGCACAGAAAGGGGGAGAAAAGAAATGTGGACTATAGAAAACTTACAATCGGTGATTAAGATTCTTGATTTCGATCTGTAGATTCCGGACTTTGATTCGATCTCTCGAAGTAATTGGGTTTTTTAAAATAGGGAGGGAAAGGGGTTTTAATAGCCGTTTTGCATGAGCACAACGGTAACTACTATGGGGCAAATTTGTAATTGCATTATTAATGATAATATTAGTTAATACTATTAAAAAGACGAAAATCATTTTTTAATTTTGATTTATTCGAATCAACTCTAATTATCGACTCGATTTTTGAGTTTGTTTCGAATTGAAATTTGACAATTTTGAATCACTCGAAAAATTAAAATTGTATCCAAGTATTTTGACAATTTTGCATATTAGTCTCTGATTGCTTTATTCCTTCTCCTCCTTCATTTTAAGTCCATTTTTTTACCAAATTTAAATCTCATTCTCCAAAACCATCGTAGAATACCTATGTATTTTTAATTCCTATTTTTGATAACAAGTTTTCTATTATTTCAATTTTGATCGACATACTCCCAACTTAGTTGCATATGTCTTATTTTGATATATCACCGTAGGATTTTTTTTGGAAGATTTTGTTGTCGCAGATTAGATGTCAAGCATGTTTCACAAGATCTTGGTTGATAACGTTGCATTAGTAAACGTGAGTCCATGCACACATTTGTGGTGTCCATGTAAGCTAAGTAAAAAGAACATTCGTGTAAAAGATCCTAGCATGAGGATCCAAGTGCCTAGTTGGCGGGCCTTAGTGGAATAGACAAGTTTATCTTGAACATTAGTTTCAATGCCCTTGTACCCTTAGGAATCCATACTTGTCTAATTTTAAAAGATTTTCTTTTCTTTATAGGACAAATATGTTTCAAATGACCATGAAAATGGCAATGTGAGAATTTTTGTATTTTTATCATAGATGAATTGTTTTTAGAAATGATTTCTTTTTCTTTTGTTAAGCATTTAGGCTTAACTTTCAAATCAAGATTTTTTTCTTCTAAATCATTGATTTTGATTTTTGAAACTTCAAAATCATTTTTCAAAATTTCATTTTATTTTTCAAAATCTAATTTTTCTTTCAAGATAAAATCATTTTCAACTTTGAATTTGAAATCAATTTCTTATATTTGGAATTCATGATCTCAAACTCCAAATACAATTCATCATATGCATCTTGAAACTCTTTGAATAAATAAGAATCTAAATCACAAGAGTTAGAGGATACAATTGAATCTTCTTCAATGGTCATGAGGCATAGGTTTGCTACTTCATCTTCATCATTGGAGTTATATTCATCACTCCATGCAGCCATAAATTATCGACTCGATTTTTGAGTTTGTTTCGAATTGAAATTTGACAATTTTGAATCACTCGAAAAATTAAAATTTTAGCTAAGTATTTTGACAATTTTGCATATTAGTCTCTGATTTCTTTATTCCTTCTCATCCTTCATTTTAAGTCCATTTTTTTAACCAAATTTAAACCACATGCTCCAAAACCATCGTAGAATACCTATGTTTTTTTAATTCCTCTTGTTGATAACAAGTTTTCTATTATTTCAATTTTGATCGACATACTCCAAACTTAGTTGCATATGTCTTATTTTGATATATCACCGTAGGATTTTTTTTGGAGGATTTTGTTGTCGCAGATTAGATGTCAAGTATGTTTCACAAGATCTTGGTTGATAACGTTGCATTAGTAAACGTGAGTCCATGCACATATTTGTGGTGTCCATGTAAGCTAAGTAGAAAGAACATTCGTGTAAAAGATCCTAGCATGAGGATCCAAGTGCCTAGTTGGCGGGCCTTAGTGGAATAGACAAGTTTATCTTGGACATTCTTCGAGCGCTTGGGCCAGGATCCTCAATAAAAGCATTCCAAACAAAAATTTGACTTTAAAATATTGACACTTAAAAAATTGAATTTCAACAAAGATGAATAAACATGAACAAACATATTAGTAGCATATGAAATTCAATATATCCAAGTCTAAAATAAACTTTATGCAAAACCAATTGTTGAATTTGAGTGCAAGTGTATAAAGCTATCTAAAAATGTTATACATTTTAAAAAATTATATAAATTGTTAGAGAGATATCGTTTGCAATAAAACATATGCATAAACATTTAAAATTAAGGTCAAAGATAAAAAAATTGTAAAATCAAAACATTAGAAAAGTTGATATCTATTGTTAGAGAGATATCATTTGCATTGAAAATCATGAACTAAAAATTATAAAAAATCATTAAAACTTTTAAATGACCATCATAATACATTTTTAAACATACACGAGATTAAAAAACAATGCATAATCATTTAAGATCAAAACTCATGCATGCATAAAACTAAATGAGCAACCAAT